TTTAGATCATTTTAATAATTATTTAAATTTGAAACAATCACAAAATTCAATTGTGACATAAATATGATATTGTAACAAATATTTCAATTTAAGTTTTAGAAGAAAAAAAAAAAGTATATATATACTTTTCTTGTCTTTTATTATTTTAATAATTTATTTTGAAATTAAATAATATAAAAAAATAAAATTAATATTTTATAAATTGACAGGTGAAATCGGGTTGGGTTGGACTAAAACCCATTATCCAAGGCCAAAAATCTCAATCAAACCCGATTCTATAGGTTAAATATTTTTCCAAACATAAAAATATCAGACTGGGTAGGGCAGATTGAGTGGGTCATCGGGCTCATGGCCATCCTTAACCTGAGCAGCTCTAACTTGCTCCGATGAAAGTGTAATTAATTTAAATTGTTCTCACTTCAATACAATATTCTCTTACTTTTATGTTTAACGAACACCGGACCAAATTAAAATTTGAAAAATTAATGGTGTACATAAATAAATTTGTTACCACATTTATTTAACAATAGACACATTTGAATACATAAGACCAGTTCTAATTGTTCATCGAATCTATCATCAAATTTAAATTTGATTAAAAAAAAGTGACTTTTTGCTTCTCTAATGGTTCATCAAATCTAAGATTTCACTTTTTTTTCATCAAACTAAGGATCAATGTGTCTTTCATCAAATCATTATTCATGGTCGTTGAATTTTTACCACCGGATGTCCTCCTAGATTACCACCTCAAGGCAAAAATTTATGAAAAAAATAACACTGCCTGGTCAACCACGCGGTCAATCTCCCAGATGACCATCTCAAGGTAAAAAAATATGAAAAAATTACACTATCCAATCGACCACCGGTGGTTTGATGAAATCACAAATCCCTCCATTGAAACACTTGATATTAAAAGAAATTTTTACTCAATTTTTTACTTAAATTTAATGGAAATTTTGATACACTATTAGATATATCCTAAGTGATTCTATGTGTTTATGTCTAGTGGTAAATATATATAAATAAATAAATAAAGGGCGAAAAGTCTCTGTACATATTGCACTTTGAATTTTTACTCTTTTGACTGAATAATATTCACCATCCACATCTGAATTGAATCATATTGTTTGGGTTATGAGGTTCATCCCAGGTCTTCTTTTAGTAATTTTAATGATTCAATTTATGGATTCCAATATATAGATTGGACTTCTCTCTTTTTCATAATTTAAACTAGAGAATTCTGTCTTGGCCCATGAGGCTCGTAGTGAGCTCATTTTTTGATAATCTGAATTATTTGTTTTTAGTTATTTGTGTGTCATTTACACACAAAATTAGGTTAATTTAATAATCGTAATTTATTTAATTTATCATGTTTGTTATTAAAAAAATGAGTTGTTTATTTTAAAAACACATTTATTGTTCATTTTTTTAAATATAAATGTAATAAATTAAATATATTATGATTATTGGATCGATCTAAGTTTTATTTTTTTATAGGATATACACGAAAGACCTTTAAAATGTATAGTTTGTATCATCGAAATAGACACTACTTTCCAATCCATATTATGAATTGAAGGAATCTGTAACAATTCGAAAATTTAAATTGTCCCTTAAATTTTATACTGGTATTGTGGTAGTATGTTATAATATATTATTAAATAAATAATAATAAATACAGAATCTAATTTGGCATTAGATTATCAAATATGAGATTAATTAGGGATTATTATTTGAGGCCAAATTAACAGAAATATGAAATTATAATACTAGTTGGATCAAATTAAAGTTAAAGATAATAAATAAATAAATATATGAAATAAGAATAATAATGATAATTAATAATAAGCATACCAAAGTGATAAGGCGAACAGCAAGTGATAAGGCTAACATTAATTAACTAACAATTAATTAAGGGATTTGTAAATCTCTCCGAGCAAAAGAGGTTACGCCAATCTACGCCTTTAGGAAGGTGAGTCACCATGGTTAGACATCTTGTACTTGTGTATATATAAAAGGATGGAGGGCTGCCAATTGCGGGAAAGGAAAAAGGAAGCGAAGGAAAGGGGAATAAAATAATGGAAGTTGAAAGAGTTTTTTGTAGTGAAAAAAAAGAGTGAGATACGATTTTTAAGGTGAGTTATATTATATCTTGAGTTTTCATAATATATTTTACATATATTTTGAGTTATCATAAATTATTATATACAAGTTTATATTTTATAAATTATATTAATATTTCAATTACGTGAATTATTTTCTGAATCCTATACGCTTAAAATGAAACTCGTGGATATGTTTCTTTAACTTAACTTTTAGTGATTATTTGACTAGGACCTTATATACAATTATGCTTTGCAAGTACCACCACGAGAGTCCCATGACTTAGGGGACTTAAATAATTATTGGCCTCTGTTTGGTCATTTTATGGCCCTCTGTTTGTCATGGATCCATTGACCTATGTTCTATGCGGAGCAAAGTACTGTGCGGAGATAAGTGTTACACTATTGTGGGAGCCACTTCTATAATCCGTACGAGTCACCTCTTGAATCTATATCTCTGTTATGACTATCATTCATGTGACCTCTATTCTGTTTTGTTTGGTACCGTGGTTATGGTTATTTATTTAAATAATCTTAGTTTTACTACTGAAATATTATTCGTTCAGACAAGTTTGGCATGACCTAAATAATACAAAAAGTCAAAAAGTCACTATCCTATTTAAGTCACATTATCTTATTTAAATCGCATCAACTCTCTAACATATCACATCAAACCGAACCCAAACTCAACCCATATAAGCCAATAAGTTAAAAAGTGCACTTTTTTAGAACATCCCAAACCAATAGTTATCTTAAATATTTTAGTTACATAACTATTCATGGTTATTTTGTATCCCTTATACTCTTGGCATAACATTTCTCACTTTGCCATGTACTTATAGCTGTTTACCAATTTTCAGGAAACAATACAATTCAGAAATAGCTTTTGGAAAGCCTTAGATGCGGGGCTGCAGAATAGACACACACAGCACTTTTATGATATTTTTATATATAAATATCGGCCTTTTTAGTCAATAAATTTTGTAATAAAAATAGAAGCTCTGATGATTATTTTGGTACCCTCACTTAAATATTACTTCTACTCGCGTTTATTAATTTGTTCAAGAATTGGCCGGAAGTAACTTCAGTTACTGACCATCATGATACTTAACCCTTAAATACGGAGAGCAGGTCGTGACAGAATCAAATTCTTATACATATCATTTACAGAAAAAATTAAATTAATCTAATAATTATGAAAAAAAAGTGATGTAATCATATTTACTTTAAAAAAAAAGAAAAATTGATGTAATCATATTTAATTTTAAAAAAAAAAAAAAAACTACCAATATGCCCTATTAAAGACAAACAGCACTATCCAACTCAAAAAATGATTTTTCTTGTTGAGTAAATTATAAATACACCTTTTGAGATTTGATTAAAATATAAATTATTTCTTGTAGTTTTAAAAATTACATTTCACCTCCTGAAATTTCTAATTTCATAATAAATCACCTCTTTTATTAATAAATTATCAAGTCAATTAATAGTTTTTAATGATATTAAAAATATGTTTTTATTAATAATTTAGGTAATTTTATTATTGTATAGGAAAACAATTATGAATTTCATTTTTTAGTTAATTCTATTAAATAAAATTTTTTAATAAGGTATTACAATTTTTTAAACTATATGAGACAATCTATATTTTAAGAAAACCTCAGGGGTGTATTTGTAATTTACCTAAAAAATACACTCTCTAATATTTGATTAAAATATGAATCGCCCTTTGTGTTTTAAAAATTACATTCCACCCTCTGAAATTTCTAATTTCATAATAAATCGCCCCTTTAATTAATAAATGATTAAGTCAATTAAGAATTTTTAATGATGTTAAAAACATGTTTCAATTAATAATTTAAGTAATTTTATTATTGTATAAGAGAGCACTTATGAATTTCATTTTTTTAGTTAATTCTGTTAAATAAAAAATTCTAAATAAAAAATTCTAATAATGAGTTATTTGTAATTTTTCAAACTACATAGAGCAATCTGTATTTTAAGCAAACCTCAGGGGGTGTATTTGTAATTTACCCTATGTTTTAAGCTTGATAATGTAACAATCAATTAGAATATTTAAGATAATACTCTTTTTCATATTTTTCTTAATCATCAACCAATTATATCACTTACACATTATTAGGTCAAAAAAATTGACTTATATATCAATTTTTTTAATTATTTGATTCACGAGTGATTATTGGGTACTCTGGGAGTACGGTCAAATAGTGCTCCATGGTATTATAATTTGTGGAGAATGTAGAATATTATGATTTTGTGTTGAGTGATTGAAAAATATAAGAACATAATAAATGATGATTAATGAATGAATATGATCACGTGATATTTTGGAATTACCTAATAATTTTCCCTCTTACGCTATAATGTAATGTTATTTTTATTTTTATTTTAGATAAATTACAAATACACCTTTTGAGGTTTGATTAAAATATGAATTGTCTTCTGTTGTTCTGGAAATTATATTCCATCCCCTGAGGCTTATAATTTCATAACAAATCGTCTTTTTTATTAATAAATCATTAGGTTAATTAACAGTTTTTGATGATATTAAAAGCATATTTCAATTAATAATTTAAATAATTTTATTATTGTATAGGAAAGTAATTATAAATTTTATTTTTTTAATTAATTATGTTAAATAAAAAATTTTGATAAAAATATTCATTAATTTCTAAATCACAAAAAATAATTCATACTTTAAACAAATCTCAAAAATATATTTATAATTCATCATTTTATTTTTAGAATAATGATGGAGATCCACCCCCATAAAATCCACACAAATCTAAATAAATCCCACATATCCAATAAATGAGCCTCGTATATACATGAAAAGTTAGAATTACTTTGAAAATGTGGGGTAATCCCGGGAGGGGTCCAAACATTTTCCTTATTTTTAAGTAAAGCAACTCCCCCATAAGGGGATAAAAGGAGGACAGACCCAAAGGGCAAGGCCAGTTGTTAAGAGAAGTAGAACAGTTGTCCCATTTAGCTCTCTACTCCAATGGCTAAATACACATCCCAAATGGACTTGACAACCAAAAACACTCCCGACAAACAAAACGACGACGAATCTATATTACTTCCAGGTTTACCCGACCACCTCTCTCAGCTTTGCCTCTCCTCTCTCCAACCTTCCCTCCTCTTCTCCGTCCGCCGCTCGTGGCGGCGCCTTCTCTTTTCCCCTTCTTTCCCCCCTTTCTTCTCTCTCTACACCCTTCTCTCATCACCATCATCATCCAACTCCATTGACTTCTTCTCTCTACACCCTTTCACATTATCTTGGCACCGCCTCCCTCCTCCGCCGCCGTCTGACCCACCTCTCCGCCTCCTCCACCGCCACCCTTCCTTCATATCCCGCAACCTTCCAATCCAATCCCTCACCGTCTCCAACAACCGCCTCCTCCTCATCGCCGCCACCAACCACCACTTCCTCCCCGCTCTCCCCCGCCCTTTAGTCTTCGACCCGCTCTCCACCACCGCCAACAACCACCACTGGTTCTCCGGCCCGCCACTCCCCGCTCCCCGCCGGTGGTGCGCCGCCGGCTCCGTCGGCAGCGCAGTCTACGTGGCGAGCGGGGTCGGATCGCATTACCAGGGTGACGTGGCGCGGTCAGTGGAGAAATGGGAAATGGGTAACACGGACGTAGCGCCGAAATGGGAGAAAGTGGCGGCGTTGAGAGATGGTAGATTTAGTAGAGAAGCTGTTGAAGCAGTTGGATATAGAGGGAAGCTTTACATGGTGAATGTGAAAGGAAATGCTATTAAACAAGGTGCTGTTTATGATGTGGCGGGGGACCGGTGGGAGGAGATGCCGGAGGGGATGTTGGCTGGGTGGAATGGGCCGGTGGCGGCGGCGGAGGAGGAGGAGATGTACGTGGTGGATGAGGGGAAGGGTGTGCTGAGAAAGTATGATTGTGGTGGTGATAGGTGGGAAGAGGTGGTGGACTTGAAGGAGGAGTTGAAGGGTGCCGAGCAGATAGCGGCTGGGAGGGGCAGAGTTTGTGTGGTTTCCTGTAATGGTAGTCGGATCGTAGTGGTGGATGTGGTGGCGAAGCCTCCGAGAACTTGGGTTGTGAATCCACCGCCGGAGATGGAGGTGGTTGCTGTTCATATCTTGCCGAGGATGAGCCTGCCTGAATAAATTTTTATTTTTATTTTTTATTTTTATGATCAGTGTCCGGACTGGTTTAGTATCTCCCTTAATTTTGAGAATCACACAAAGTATTCCTCTTTAGATCAGACAAATTTCAAGCAAACTTTATAGGTGTAGTTTCAGAAAATCGACAGTATGAGAGTTGAATTTGATAAATCTATCGGAATACATAGCTCACATCACATTTTGTAATGAGAAAGTCTGTTAAAATATTTAAAGTAATTCTTTTTTATATATATTGACTAATTATTAATTAATCATCTTTTGTACATAATATGAGCCGTAGAAATTTAGTTTAGAAAGTGAGTTGTATACATTTTTCCTTCTATTATTAAATTTTATGAAAAAACTATACAATTAACATATATATATATATATTTTATTTATGTCATTTATGTGAAAATTATATTTTGTAACGTATATAGAATTTAAAATGAATATTTCGCCACGAAAAATTCGAAGTTTATGTAATGGACACAACCTCTCAATTCACATATTTCGTGGGTCCACGACTCATTATAGTCGTGAAAGGTTGTGTCGGAATATATGCAAATAGAAAAGTTGTTTTATTCAAGTTGAAAGTCCTTATCACTCATTAAAATACTATTTATTAGGTTTTTTATTGATAAATCTTATTTAGAAGTGTTTTAATCTAAGAAATTTATGAAGAAATTTTTTAACTCATTTAATCTCATGTATGTACAGTTTTATTTAATAAAGTCTTTTTTCTTGATTTACACTATTTCCTTAGACACTTATGTCCTTATATTTAATTTTGATACCCTTATAAATAATTTTTGAACGGTTAGCAATTTTATGATGTGAACATTCATATTTTAAAATTCACATTGGTAGAAATGTAAAATTGGCCCGTGGGCGACCCGAAACCCACCGGCGAGCCGGGGCGGGCCCAGCCCGTTAACAATATGAATATTCACATTGACATGTTAACATTTACATTAATAGGAGTGTAAAATTGGCCCGTGTCCCGTGACGGAACGAAACCCGCCGGCGGCCCATGGCAGCCCGGGGCGGGCTCGGTCCGGCCCGTTAACAATGTAAATATTTACATTGACATGTTAACATTCACATTGATAAGAGTATAAAATTGGCCCACGGCTCATGGGCGGCCAAAAGCCCCCCCGCGACCTGGGGCGGGCCTGGCCGGACCGTTAACAATATGAATATTCACATTGACATGCTAACATTCACATTGATAGGAATGTAAAATTAACCCGCGTCCCGTGGCTGCGCGAAACCTGCCCACGGCCCGTGGGCGACCCGGGGAGGGCCCGGTCCAGCCTGTTAACAATGTGAATATTCACATTGACATGTTAACATTAACATTGATAACAGTGTAAAATTTGCCCGCTGCCCGCGTCCTGGGGTAGGCCCGGTCCAGCCCGTTGACAATGTGAATATTCACATTGACATGTTAACATTCACATTGATATGAGTATAAAATTGGCCAACGGCCCAGGGCGGGCCCAACCTAGCCCGTTGACAATATGAATATTTATATTGACATGTTAACATTCACATTGATACGAGTGTAAAATTGGCCCGCAACCTGTGGGCGGCCCGAAGCCCGACTGTAGCCTGACTCGTGACATTGTGAATATTCACATTGACATGTTAACATTAACATTGATAACAGTGTAAAATTTGCCCGCTGCCCGCGTCCTGGGGTAGGCCCGGCCCGGCCCGTTGACAATGTGAATATTTACATTGGCATGTTAACATGCACATTGATAGGAATGTAAAATTAGCCCGCAGCCCGTAGGCTGCCCGAAGCCTGCCCACAGCCCGGGGCAGGCTCGTTTGGGTCCGGGTCCGAGCCGGTGGGTCGAGCCTCTGGTCGGGCCAGGCCTAGCCTCAGGCTTGGGTCAGGCTTGGGCAGGCCTGGCCATTTTTTTTAATTCTTTTTAATTTTTTCTACCAAAATTTTATTATTTTTCACAAAAAAAGATATTAGGCCTCGGCGTGGGCCGGGCCTCGGACTGAGCCTTGAATGGGCCTTAACCGGGCCGATTGGCCGGGCCGGGCTTCAAAGTGATGGCCCAGGCCCTAGCCTAGGGTCTCAGACTAAGCTCGAGTCCGGGCCCAAACGAGCTTTTCCTGAGCCATGGGCGGGCTTCAGGCAGGGTACGTTCTTTTTTACTATTCCATTAAGTCCTATTTGAGGTAAAAAGACCAAAATACCATTTTCATCTACTTATATTCTATTTAGTCCACATTATTGTCTTATGTTTCAATAAGTCCTATAGGAGACATAATTACCAAAATACCCATAATGTGAATGTTCACATCGTCAAAGTGAATATCTATATCATTAATGCGTAGAGGCTCGGGCCGGCCCATATCGAGCCTCGTGGGTGTCCGAAAAAATTAGGCCCGGCCCACGGGCAAAAAAATTAGGCCTAGGCCCTAGCCCTAGCACAAGGGTATTCGGGCTTTGGACGGGCCGATGGATCGAGCCTCGGGTCAGGCCGGTGGGCCTGGGCCTAACCTCGAGCTTAGGTCGGGCTTGGGCAGGCCTGGCCATTTTTTTTAAATTTTTTCTACCAAAATTTTATTATTTTCCACAAAAAAAGACATTGCACCTCGGGCAGGCTAGGCCTCAGACCGAGCCTTGAATGGGCCTTAAGCGGGCTGATGGGCGGGGCCAGGCTTCAAAGTGATGACCTAGGCCCTAGCTTAGGGTCTCAGACATGCTCGGGCCCGGACCCAAACGAGCCTACATTCCTATCAATGTGCATATTAACATGTTAATATGAATATTCACATTGTCAACAGGCTGGGCTGGGCCTACCCTAGGCCGCAGGCAAGCTTCGGGTAACGGGCAAATTTTACACTCCTATCAATGTTAATGTGAACTTGTCAATGTGAATATTCACATTGTCACGGGTCGGGCCAAGCTCACCTCAGGCTGCGGTCAGGCTTCAGGCCGCCCACGGGCTGCGGGCCAATTTTACACTCTTATCAATGTCAATGTGAATATTCACATTGTCAACGAGTCGGGTCGAGCCTGCCCTGGGCCACTGGCCAATTTTATACTCTTATCAATGTGAATGTTAACATGTCAATGTGAATATTCACATTGTCAACAGGTCGGGCCAGGCTGGGCCCGCACCGGGCCGCCCACGGGCCGTGGGCAGGTTTCGGGCAGGCACGAGGCGCGGGCTAATTTTACACTTCTATCAATGTGAATGTTAACATGTCAATATGAATATTCACATTGTCAACGGGCTGGGCTGGGCCCGCCCCCGGCGGGCTTTTGGCCGCCCATAGGCCGTGGGCCAATTTTATACTCTTATTAATGTGAATGTTAACATGTCAATGTAAGTATTCACATTGTCAACGGGCCGCCCATGGGCCGCGGGAGGGTTTCGCCCCGCCACAGGACGCGGGCCAATTTTACACTCCTATTAATGTGAATGTTAACATGTCAATGTGAATATTCACATTGTCAACGGACCGGGCCCGCCCCAACCCGACTCGGATTTTTTCGGGCACCAACGAGGATCGACATGGGCCTGGCCCCTACACATTGACGATATGAACATTCACATTGACGGTGTGAACATTCACATTAGAGGTATTTTGGTAATTGTGTCACCCATAGGACTTATTGAAACATAAGAAAATAATGTGAACTAAATGGAACATAAGTAGATAAAAATGGTATTTTGATTTTCTTATCTCAAATAGGACCTAATGGAATAGTCAAAAAGAATATGGGTTGGATGGAATAAAGCTCTTAGAAAGTGGATTTATCAAAAAAGCTCCGTAATATAGCGTTATGTTTATATTTTTATAAAATTAAAGTTATATATATATATATATGTATTTTTTTTAATTATCAACAATAACATATATCTAGGCCTAGTTTGGCATAATTTAAAATTTTTAAAAAATCAAAAAGTCACTACCTTATTTAAGTCACACCTTCTTATTTAAATCACATCATCTCTCTATCACATCACTTCAAACTCAACCCATATTTTACTTTTTTTCATAAAAAGTCAAAAAGTGTACTTATTTAGATCATCCTAAACAATCCCAAATTAAAAAAGTATTAAAATAATATAGAGTAAATTGTTAAAAAATACAAGATAAGAAAGTTACGGCAATTATACATATCACTAAAAATGATGCTCTACTGAGTTGGCACACACTAAAAATAAAATAAAAAAAACCATACCAACACTGTGGCATCCACTGCTATATCATTAGTACTACCATTAATTAGTGGTCTCAACAATTTTCTAGGAAGTTATAAGGTATTAGTTCTAATAGATATTTTTTTATTAGTGAGAGGTCCACCATTTGTGACACAATTTGGTTTGTTGTTCTAGAAAGACATTTTATTACTAATTCTACCTCTTAATTTATCTGTTGACTTTTTTTATCTGTTTGACTTTTCATTGACTATCTATTCAAATTTATATCTATCTGCTCAAATAGTTTGTCTATCTGTTCAAATATTTTTTTTATTTGTTCCATTTTTTTGACCTATATGTTAAAAAAAATGTATCTATTGAATTTTTATAACTTAATTTTTCTACCTTTTCAAATTCACACCATTTTTAAACTCTCTTTATTTGTTTCTCTCTCTCTCTATTTAATTTTACACCTCTTTTCTCTCTCTCTCTCTTGAATTTAATCTATTCAAATTTTATTATCTGTTCAAATTTTTGAATAAATTTGTCCAAATTTTTTTTTTTTTTTAAATCTACTGCAATCTATTTCTTCTTCATCAACAACATTCGTCATCATCATCATTCATGAATAACAACAACACCAATAAATAAAAAATTAAAAAATGAGAACTCAACATAAATTTGATGCTATTACAAATCTATTGGATCAGAGACTCATGAAAGAAAAGGGGAAACGAGATCTAAGCCAAATCTGAGCCTTATTTTAAATCTTTGTCATATACTTCACATTGTGGTGATTTCAAAGTAAAATTTCATTATTAGGTAATATTTTTATTTCATTATATAGTTGAAATAAAAATTTACATTTTAATTCAACTTATAAAATTGTAAGAGAAAATTAGTCTAGGATCCCTCTCCCATTTTTAGTTA